CCGGAGCCGAAGCAGGCATCTCCGGAGCAGAAGCAGGCATCTCCGGAGCTGAAGCAGGCATCGCCGGAGCCGAAGCAGGCATCGCCGGAGCCGAAGCAGGCATCGCCGGAGCAGAAACAGGCATCTCCGGAGCCTTCAAACAGAGAGAGCGATGACGGTGGAGTGAAAGAGGACTACACCGGGGGAAACAGCATTAAAAACAGAATCAGTCAACTGTTTGACTCTGCGTCGAGGCCGGAGGCCATGCCGAAGAGGGATGAACCGGAAATCTTAACCGGTATAGGAGGGGTGAAGGAGCGCATCAAAAATTGGGCTGCAGAAACAACTTCTGAGGGTCCAAAGATGGAGAAGAAGCCTCCGGCTACATCCCGAGCACGCTCCAGAAGGTGAGTAAGGCTCTGCAGTTTGTGTGCAGTGACAAGATTAGACACAAAGAAAAGGAAGTGAGCATTCATTTGCAAGCACAGGTTCAAATCCCAAAGCCTATCTTCGTTGGTCAGATGTAGATGATTTATGACTTTGTGTCTAGGAAGCCTTAACCTTAAATGTGATTCATTTGTTGATTTGGGTGAGCAAATGTTGGATAAAAAACTTTTTATGTGGGTGTGTGGTTGTATGTGGTTTCTCTTGATTTAGATTTTCTTTATGTTAGTGGTTTGGATTTAAGAGGACATACAGGCATTTCTTATTTAGACAGAAAGCACGGCCCCAGTTTCTGGTTTCTGTGAGCAGCTGTAGCAAGAGTGCAAGTCTAGAACTGTTGAGGAAGGAAAGTTTGAGTGTTGCTCTCTTGATGCTCCTCCGTGTTCAGTGTGTTTGGAAAGTAATCCGGGCGTGGTAAATGAAAAATGCTGCTGCAGTATCGATGTTGCAGCCAGATTTATGTCCTTAAATAACCAAGGTTAGATAAGAAAGCAAACTAAGCTACCGAAGTGTGTGAGGTTTGAGATTAGACATCCAGCTGTCTGCACATAGCTTCAGGTATTTAGCCATTCCCTATAGTGGATGTTAATGGGATTTTAGTTGTGTTTGCTTACAGTTTCCTAAATAACATTTAGGGAAATGAATCTTTCAGAAAATCTGCATCCTGACTATATTTTTGAGAGTTTTCACTGTCAGAAGTTTTCAGTGGAACTACTACTCCATGTACTGAATACGCATTATTATCTCTGAAGCACTGCTGACTGTGTGGAAATGCCATCAAGACTATTTAAGTGACCAGTCACTGAGTGGATAAGTAAAAACCTTGTTTTTTTACTCATGTTGAAATCAGACCTTTTAAGTAAATGCTCACAATTTCCAGGTAATTTATGCTCTCACTGACAGCTGGATTAGATATATACCTCTCTTTGCCCTTATGCTGGGTGTCATAAATATGTCACATGCTTCCTGGATTCCTATGAGGCTGCCAGCAAACCAATGAAGACTCGTGGAAGTCACTGGTCTAAATAAGCATTAGATCCACTGCTCTCTGTAAAACTTTGTTAACATTAAAGTTGACTTTTTGTGTTGGTTAAAAGCGACGCGCAAGGTGTTATTTCGCGAACTTCCAGGGTGCAAATAGGCTGTTTCCCCCAGCGCTACACTAAGCTAAACATTTGCTTTGTATTTAATGTACAGACAGACGTACACACAGGGTGGTGTCAGTCTTCTGTTGTAGGTCTAGGTCTAGTTGTTGTCTGTTACTTTCATGTTAATCTCTAGAAACAACCTACCAGAAGTTTTCTTGTTTGTGTTTGTAGTCATGTGGTATAGACCAATCACATTAGAGCAGGGTTTGCTGTTTTTTATCTGCCTACAAAATGACTGCTATATGTAACAGGACACCTAGCTATCAGCTCAGTGACTCTTGAATGTTGAGAACAAAAAGCCCCCAAAACAAAACAAGAACAAAACGTCATTAAAACTCTGTTGTTCACAATGAAAAGCTATGATTGCTCTCTCCTCCACAGCTTTGAGCCCGCAACTTCTCCAACAGAAGTGAAAACACCAAAAACTTCAAATCTCAGACTTTCTGCCGAAGAAATGCCGCAGAGTCCGACTGTGGACCCCCCGTCAAAGGTCTCTCCTGTTGAACAACCAACAAAGTCCCCAACAGAAATGCTAAAAGGTGTTCGAACTGAAAAGAAATCATCGGAAAGTGCTGCAGAGAGCCCACAAGAGGCAAACAAATCAACAGAGGTTGACGTTCAGTTGTGCACCCCTAACCTGAGTGAAGATGTACCAAAGAGGGACAATGTCAAACGTCGCTCTGTTCGCTTTGGCACCGTGCAGAGTGATGATGGTGGGCCTCCACTGATCCTAGGCTCGGATTCTGATTCTGACACTGAAGACGAAGAAGAAGGAGAAGAAGAAGAAGAAGGAGAAGAAGAAGAAGAAGGAGAAGAAGAAGAAGAAGGAGGAGAAGAAGAAGAAGGAGAAGAAGAAGAAGAAGGAGAAGAAGAAGAAGAAGGAGGAGAAGAAGGAGAAGAAGAAGAAGAGGAGGAGGAGAGTCCTGGAGTTACAGCTGAAAAGAAAGTCCCTGATTTAGTGCCTGTCTATAAAAGAGTAGGAATTTTTCAGAAAAAACATGATGAGAGTCAACAGCAAGAAGAAGAAAGACGGAAACATCTGAAATTTGAAGAACAGCGGCGAGCAGAGGAGACGGAACAAGCAAGGCTTCAGCTAGAACAGGAGCAGAAAAGAGTGGAAGAAGAGAAGGAAAAAGAAAGGGAAAGACAGAGGGAAGAGCTCAGGCTTAAGGAAGAGGAGAGGGCAAGGCAGAAAGAGGAGCAAATTAAACAAGAGATGGAGGAGAAGGAAAGGGAGAGGCTAAAGGAAGAGGAGAGACTGAGGAAGGAAAGAGAAAGACAGAGACTAAAAGAAGCGCAAGAGAGAGATAAAGAGCTAAAGCTAAAACAGGAGGAGGATGAAGAGAGAAAAAGAAGGGAACAGGAGAGGAAAATCCAGCAGGAGAAAGAGGCAGAGATGGAGAGGAAGAGGCTGTTAGAAAAACAGAAAGAAGAGGAGAGAAAGGAAGAGGAAAG